ACCTGTGCTACATACACTTGATCACTTGCCAGGATACGGTTTTGATAGAGAGTATATGATGTAGTCAAAATGAACCAAAAAAAAAACATACTTGTTGAAAAATATATAATCATATATATATATAATTGATCAGTAGGAAAAGGCAATCCACGGCGGAGTGTTAGCCTAACAGTTTGATAACCAATATTCTTAGAAAAAGGAGAAAAGGAGAAAAAAAGAAATTTATTAATGTTTTCTGTATCAATTCTGTATGGAAAACAGGCGGCAATATGTAAATTAACAAAAAAAAGGGCAGTTTTAACTGAAAAATGACCATAGTGGTGAGCAAATGACGAAGAAAGACATCACCGTAATAGGGAGGTAAGTGAAATACATTGGAATTTTCATCAGCGCGTTATTAATAATATTATTCTGTATAATTATAATTAATCTTTTATATTACATTTAAATGACTGATTCATTTGCTGATTTCTTTGGTGGCTTTTTGGCCTGACCCGCGATTAGAGCTTGTATGTAAGCAGTAAGAAGTCCATCCATCTTATAACCCTGGAATTAGCTCAATAGAAAGGAATTACGTATTGCCACTTACCATAGTTGTGTCCAACAATAATTTTTTACCATCGTTTCCTTTCAAAACGTTACCAACAGTCATGTTGAAATAAGTGTTCCCACTAGTCCAGTTACAGATTACATTGAACGGATACTGAAATCGTGCATAATGAAAACTCTGAAACTTATTAGGAAACTCACATGAACTATCAAATTTTTGTTTTCAATGTTGTAAATATGAACTCCTTGCTGGTTTATTGATATCAATAACTTCTCTGGCAATGTTACGTCAGACATTTGGGAGACCTAAACGTTCAATCTTCAAAACATCATCAAATTCAAAAGCATACGGGGAAAAATGCAGAACCAAATGTTGGCCATTTGTGGATTGTTCTCAAGAACTCAATTTTTGCTTGATCTGAAGTTAAATGCTCCACGTGGACATAGGAGTTTGATATTAGCTGCAAATGAAATTGAATATTAACAAAGGAAGGATTCCTACCTTCTTCCATTCAGATGAGGACGATCCTGATAGAATATCTTTGGGTACGAGATCGTGCAACAGTTGAGGAACTTGAGCCAAAGGTGCATTCTTGAAAGTTAACTTATGAGGTATAATAAAGATCGAACTGACTTTGCTGTCGTTAGTCATTGCCCTGAGAATGAGAGCACCGATTTCTACAGCAGTTTGTTTGGTTACATTATGATATCCTAACAAGTATTTTGGAACTTCCTGAAACACAAAACTGTACGAGGAGAATCTTGGTTGCATTTACCTGATAATAATGGAAAATCAAATCTGCATTAACATCATCTCCAGGAACGACATCCATCCATAACATTCTCATAAAGAATACTTGATAGTTGATGGGAACCATCTGACTCTCTTTGTGCGAATGAGTACTCTGGATTTCATCAGACAACTGTCTGACATAGTCGAAGAAGAAATCATTTTCAGGTACATGACGAGCTGAATAAGAGAATCAATTAACGTTTCCTGGTATTAGAACTGACCTTTCTCTTTAATTTTCACGACTAAGTAAAAACCTTTGGGCGATTTGAGATATAAACGCTTTGCTATTCTCTGACATATATCTTTTGCCTTTGTTGAAGAGTCAACTTCAATAGCTTCATCAGTTTGATCTGGGAAGAATATCTGAAAGGCTAGCCTTTGTGAAATACGAGATTTGCAAATCCATACTTTATGGTAGATCTGTGTGGTTTTCTGTTGAATCGCTTCAACTTCGACAAGGTGAGGTGGATACTTTCTGCTACCCGATCTGAAGAGAAACATCAGAGAAATGAAATTAATACATAGCAAATATGAATATGGAGATAGGAATGCGACCGATCTGTACGTTTAAAATCTTACTTCGAAATCTTTTGAATTCTGTTCAAACAATCTAATGCTATCGAATGATGTCGCGATTTCAAGAACATGGACACCTGTACGAAACAACTTGTTATATGGATTAGCACTGTTGGAACTCACTTCTCTCATCAGAAGAGGGCTTGGTGGGAATAATCCAGCGATTAACCACATTAGTTCCCAACCTCTTTCTTCAGAAAGCATTGAAGGATTCAAGGTCAATTGCTTGATTATTTGACAATATAGTTCATCTTTCAGAATATCCTGGAACAATATGAGGTTAATTATCTATTTTTCTCTCATTCCTCACCCAGGCAAGAGCCGCTCTGAATATGATATCCGTAAGATCCGTTCCTAACCTTCCTCTGCGATGTTGTAAATCTCCCATATATCTCATAATTGATATATATGCCTGTACTGCTTCTCTTGAAGGGTCTTCTCTGTAACATAACGACTCAAAAACGTATATTTAAACTATAAACTTACAATCCATCGAGTTTTTTGAGAAGTGGACCATCGATAGGTTCTCTTGAAAACCTCCAACGATCAGCTGCAGAAGATTCTTTCCTTCGTAAGGTCATGATACTTCCAGATCTCTTTGGCACGCTCCTTCAAATTTAAACTATGACTACACAATTAAGCTTTCAGTACCTGAAGTGCTCAGCAGCAAATTTCTCGAGAGTGTAAGGCTTGTCAAACGTGTGATCCACAATCGATACTTGTTTGTGATTGTTGTTGTTCAAGCTATCCAAATTAGCTGTCTTCGGGAATAGCTTCTAAAGGAAGAAAGCAAATGGGTGAAGATTTCAAAACTCTTACCAGAACAGTAGCGGTTGGTCGAGCCATTGTTGGAAGAATATATACGTTTTCACGAATAATCATTCCTTCCTGATTCGTTCTCTGATTTTGCCCCTGAACACAATGACTACATTAGCATTCAGACAAACTAAGATAAGCTTACCTTAACCATAACTTCATTCAATAAATCTTTTCCGCAGTGATTGTTTGACATCGTTAGTAAATCACCTTTCTCGAATTCGAGATAGCCACCGGATCCTGGAAGAGAATAGTAAGAAATCAGAAGGCTATTAACAAACCTTCAGCCTTTTGCGATTGAGTAGCAACGAGATATTTACTTCTCATCTTCAAGCCTTCCAAGAAGTTGGAAACCAATTCTCGGATGTCTTCCGCATTCGGTGATTGGAAAGCATACTCATCTCCAGTGATTGATCGTATGGTACAAGTATCTGCTCCGATTCGTTTTCCTCTGAAATAATTTGATTTTTATTAACTAAAGATGAATATTTATATTCTTACTTTCCGTACACTACTCCTGTTATCTCTGGATAACTGAACTCCAATAGAACCTGCTCCTGGTCGTCCACTACGTAGATACCAGTCCAGTTAACAGCTATGATAACTTCATTCTTGGGTAAAGGTGGTCCTGTGAACTTCAATGCCTCATAGAATCTGGAAAGCAACAAGAGCTTTACTTGCATCATAAACAAGAACAATGTACCTCGAGTATAACAGTGGCCAGTTGAACTTAGCGAATGAGACAACATCTTCTTTGACGCTAGACGCGGTAGCAGATTTTGTGAATCTCTGAAAAGTGATTACGTGCACCTATACTATAATTCATGCATACCTTTCTATACTGATGCATAATCAGCTGTGTCCAACGTTCACGGGCCATTTCCTTCCCATTCAATTCTACATCTGGGAGGTAGTTATGAAGCTGGGATTCGAGCCGGTTTACATCAAGAGCTCCTTCATCAATAAAGTATTGTTGAGCAGCTAAGGTTGCAAGATCATCTTCCTAACAAGAATGAATAAAAGAGAGCTGGCTTATACTCGACACACCTTTTCACAACGATATTCACCATACTTGATACCTCGTATAACTTGTTGATAAATCAAATTCGTTGCAACGGAGTCTTCCCTATAATTAAATAGATGAGTTGAGGACCATTCGAACAATGTCTCACTTTGCGTCATGCCAGGGAGCGAAAATTTCTTTTCGATAGAAAAGTCTCCAAGGTGCATTACGTTCCTGTCGACCCTGTTCTTTAGCATACTGCTCACATTGGGAAATGGCATCCATAACATGGTCAGATCCGCAACCCAAGGAGCTCACCTGAACTCTGATGTATTAAGAAGCAAAGAACAAGAGAAACCTTATCAAAAAGTGCGATGTACAAGCTGAACCCAAAACGATCTTTCAAGCCAACTTTGTCAGCCAATTGAGTGCAAAGTTCAGACGAAGTAGTTGCACTGTCAGCACACAAGGTCTTGACAGTTCCATCCATGAAAGTTACGGCCAAAACGATAGGCTTCTTGCTCTTGCTCGCCTGAATACAAATTAGCTAAGAGGTATTTTGCTAACAAATTACCTGAAGTTCAACGTAACTAGATGGTTGTCTTCTTGGCCCGTTCTGTACAGTACGTCTAAGTCGTTCTTCAATATAAGATGAATATCCCGATCCAGAAGGTCCTTTTTCGCGAATAAAGCAATACAAGTACTTGATAAACCTGCAATGATTACATTATTTTTTAAATGGAGTTACTTCATCTTACCTAGGACTTGGAGCAAAGCAACCAACACATAAAGATAGTAAGATCCATCCTCTAGCAGCTGATAGCTTAGAAGGATTTTCAGATAACTGCTTGCACAGTTGGCAATATATTTCATCCCGTAATTCTTCACGCAAGATTCCTAATCCCACTATATAATGCAATTTATCCAAACTACTCATAGGCTTGATGTCGAGTAACGCATTGAATCCCGAGGAAGAAGAACTTATGGAGTCCATAGACTCAGCAGATTGAATATCTGGAATACGCCAAAATAGTTCAGAGCAAAAATATCAATTAACAAATACCATTCAACTTCGACTTCCTTTTCAAAGTCATAGAAATTATCTTCTTGCCCATTCCTTTTTTGAGAGTTCGGTTGCCTCCTAATGCATCAACATCAGCAGCAGCTCCAGCTTCTTCCACATCCTTCCGACTATATCTACGACCAAGAGTAGCATAAAGCTTAGTCATAACTGGGGTTTTGTCCTAGAATATAAAACTAGAACCGTCAAGTATTAATAACTTACATAAGCTCCATCAGCACTGTTAACCGAACCAAGCTTCACATCAGGCAAGTCTCCCATAAATCGGAGAATTGTCATCCATGCAGCAAGAGCTCCCTGTAAAGAAGGAAATTTTCGATCACATTGAAAGTTAGAGCATACCATTTGAATAGTATGATCGTCGTGGTTGAGAAGAGGAGAACGCAATGGTCTTTTGATGTGAGTAGGAGTTACTCCTGTTGACATATATGTGGCAGCGAACTTGGAGAACTGATACTTCGAGAGATCTTCTCCTTCGAATGGATCAGTAGTCTGCGGAATGTTAACACAGATAGCTTCTGGTTCCTAATTCAGTTTCCGTTAACTTCTTTCAATAGTTGATAACGTACTTTGGTTAAAGTTTTACTTCCTCTAACGCTTCCAGCCATGGATTCACCGTCGATGCTTCCTTCCATCTTACTATCCGATGGCAAGAAATCGAACAGTTGTCCAACCTGTAAATAGATTTGTAGATGGCTATAAGGGAATACACGTCATTAAGATTCATGAAAACGATTATGCAGCTGCACAGCACTATTTTGAAATTTAGAAGACAGGAAAGAAGCTACTATTCGAATTAAAACTACAACTTGGCTCTGTTAATCATCAGTAAATGCCATGCGTACACTCAACTCCACTTACCTTTGAATTACGGCCATCAAGTAATAGAATCTGAATGTTTAAATGAAGCAAAGCGTTAATGTGAGCGAAGGGATTTGAGATGTTCAAGCTTTCATATGAATAACTGGTAAACTTACAAGTTCTTCTTCACGAACATCTTCCGGCACTGGTTCTCTGATAACATCTGTTGTAACGTACAACTTCTTACGGCCTTGTTTGAGCATTTCATCGACTTTCCATCTTACAATCGCACCACGACAACGGGCCTTCAAATAGCACAATGGAAGAGAGTGAGAAAAGCACTTCACTTACTTGGAATTGTATGATGACATGTCTTAAGCTTTGATAATGTTGAACCAACTGTTTGGTTCTCAATAAAGCTTGTAGTCTTGACACTCCGACAATAATCTGAAACAGTGAATGTGCATGAGAACAACAATATCGAAATCACCTGCTTATATCGTTTTCTTTGATCATAGCCTCTCCATATTTTCTGGATAATGACAGCAGCATCTCGCTGCTTATCGAAACGTTTCTTGGCCTGCCATCCTCGGACAGCTTTCTGGATAGTTGTCGCTCTCTCATTCAAAACACGATAGTAAGCCTATAAAAAGAAGTTTCCGTTTTCAAAGAGGTCAAAGTAATCCTACATTCTCGAGGAACAAATCTTGTTGATCTTTCAAGAAAACTTTCGTCTTTCCAAGTTGGAAATCAGCATCATGTCCGAAGACATACCGACAGATCTTCTTGGCAGCCTTATGACAATCGACTTTGTGTGAAGGACCTAAGGAATATCAGCCAGTTTTTGAACATCCTCGTACACATACCTATTCCATTAACCAAAAGCCGATAACGATGAACAAAACGCTCATAGGAATGTCTGACCGGATAACCGCTTCGACGAATCCTGATAGTTTCCATCATTCCAGAATAGCGTAATTGGCGTAAGACCAACTCGCGATCCATCATCTGAAGATACAAGTGATAAAGGATAAACATGTGTCTTGTACCAGAGCTCTTTTATATTCATTGGGCTTGATACATCGAATGAAGAAGGGTTCCGTTTGAACAAGCTGGCTCATGAGGGACTCAAGAGAACGCCTGAACTGACTACTGACGGTACTTCCTTTCTTTCTGTAACGAGTCTATAAGCTTGCTTTTGATTGTGTATCTATGAACCTTGTACTGCTATCAGAATACTCCACGTCTTCGAATAAACGTTTCATGAACACCATTTTCGTTGAAGAAACCAGAGATGAGAGATCGGAGTGGAAAGAGTCTCTGTTTTTCTCCAAGAAGCCTAATTCAAGCCATACGATAGATTGAGAGTATCAAGTAGACCGACCTTTGACGTTGTAGAAGACAGGACCAGCAAAGTGATTAACACCAAACGCTTTTTGAAGATCTGATTTAGGTTTCAAGTAACCAGAGTGAGACTTAGAGTGGTTGGAATGCAGTTTGTTGAGCATAGTATAATCAGTAGCCTAGAAATTCAACGTAAGCAGGAGGATGAAATGATTAGCTAACCTTTGGGAAAATACTCTCTTCGTCTATGATTGATAGAATATTCATAGGTTGAAGAGCTATCAATTCCAATGTTTGTTGATTATCAACAAACTGAATTTGTCGCCAACTAATTTGTTCCTGAACAAGTTAAAGAATGAAAGAGAGCTGACAATCAACATGACAAACCTGGTCGTACTCTGCTTGCTCCATTTTGAACACATGCTTTATGAAGAACTGTTGAAGAGCTTCGTTTGCATAATTGATGCAAAGCTGTTCAAAACTGTTGTTCTCAAAACATTCGAATCCAAAGATATCTAATACACCTATGGAAGTTCGTCGTCCATCTGATCGAGGTCTGAAAAAATGAAAGTTTGAACATTTTTCGGAGATGAAAAACTATACTTGAAGATCGCATCGTTAATACGAGAGACAATATATATAAACAATCGTCCATAAATTCCTTTGACTAAAGCATCTCTTGTATCTACCGCTTGTTGAGCCGTCAATCGTTTAACTACCCGCTCATCACGTGTAACCAGTGTTTTACTAGTTAGAGCATCTAGCAAATTCTGCTCACGAATCTGAAGAGGATTCGCAATGTGCAAAATTTCAAAAAAAGAGATATTACCTGTAGGAGCCTTGCTATCCTAACAATGTTGGAAGCATCGCTTACATCTACTGCTTCCATGTTATCGACTTGGGAACCTAGAGTGAACAGGTTACAATGATAATTCTTCGATGTAAACTTACATCTGTATCGGATGTTTCCAATATGCAAAATTCCAGCTAGAAGCTTGAAAATACTCCAAACTTCTTGATCTTTGAACATGAGGACCTTCATAGCTGATCTTATTTCAGCTAAATCAGCTCCATCATCTCGTCCTTCGGCAACTAATGTACGCCCCTATAAGAGAATATACAATTAGAATCCACTCCTTCGTCATACCTGAGTAAGATAGAAGTAATCAGATGTAGTTGTTAGCTCTAAATCCTTCTTCTCTTCAGCTGTTAAACCGGATAACAAACAATAGAAAATGTGATAATTTCTTTCATTTTCTGATTGAGAAACTATTCTAGATTTTTCTAATAAATATTGTTCAATACGAGCTCCTTAAAATATTCAAATGAGGTCAGAACTTCTCATAACTAACAACCTTCGATGCATCCCGTTGAATTGAAATGTACGTCAATGTATTTTCCAAACCTCGACGAATTATCATTACGAACGGTTTTCGCATTACCAAAGGCTGAAATACGAGAAAAAAACGAAAATGAAAGTGAATTGGATGTTTATCCTACCTTCAAGTATAGGATTAGCTTCTAATACTTGTTGTTCGATCCAACTATGCTGACCACTAATGGTGGCTAAGAACTGTAACACAAGCTTGGTTGATTCTGTTTTACCAGCTCCAGACTCGCCACTAGAAAAGAAGAAGCTTACAGTTGTATTCAACATGATCAAACCTTATGATGATGCTCTGATTCCGATTTGCATTTCTCATATTGGTGTAAGAGTTGTCTGCTATAGCAAAGATATGAGGAGGCAACTCTCCAATCTTCCTTCTGAAATCGAACAAAACATATCATGGAACGTGAAAGACACTAAGAACCTTTTATATAATCTGATTTGCTCAGCGGTATAAATTGGAATGTCTGAATAAGGATTAACAGCGATAAGTATACTTCCAGTAAATGTCTGAAACAGAAGTTCACTGAGGAGCTTCACCTTTGCTTCAACTCACATATATATGTTTTTGACGATATCTCATGAAAATGTTTCTAAGAATGGCACTTTCATGATAATCTCCAAGTTGGCACATGTCTTCGACCCCTTCGATTGAAGTGGGATGCATGAGCCGAATCCGACGGTCCGCCGCTAACCATTGTTCCTGCAATAAAAATGATTATGCAAGTGAAAAGATACCCAGATTTCAGGAGCACAACCACTCTATAGCAAATTCAATGTAAAAATGAAATCATAATTCAATTATCTCTCGTTTCGCGCCTCTTTTTTTTGAAAATCTCCCTTAATTAGCATAATGCTTCAGGTATGGAGGGATTGAAAGAGGATGTTTCAAATGTGATTGCTAATTTGACAAGTTCCAAGACAGTAATTGCAGTCAATATGAAACTTCCTTTCATCAATTCGCTAAATAAGGCAATTGGTCATGTCTTTTTTCAATTTACGAGGTGTTTGGAATATTTGAGTTAATTGTATGAACATATAAATGAGATCAATTTCTCGGTAGAGATTAGGATATGAGAGAGAGAAACAGTTAATAGAAGTATAGAAGAAGAGAAGTAAGAGATAGTAAAAGAGAGAGGGAGAGGCAGAGAGAGGTTGAAAACACCAAACTGGGTCAAGTTCAATTGATATATCAAAATTAAGAGAAAATGAAATGGATTGTCTATTAAACTATAATATACTAACTTCAAAAGAATTAAAATACAAAATGACAAATGACCGAAATGTTCTTACCGTTCCGTTGTCATCCAAGATTTTCAATCGACCATGATCTTGCTCTATAACACGAGCGCCAACAGGGATGGAGCTTTCGCCTCGTAAAGGCTCTATCCAAATGAAATCTCCCTATAATGGAATGAATGAAGAGATGAATAAGATTGAAAGGAGCATACCTTTGAAACTAAGACCATCCTCTAATTCATACTGAACTGTTTCCTTTTCGCAGAATCACTGAAATGACAAATATAGTTAAAGGGGGGAGAGAAGGAGAACAAAAAAAAAGAAGAAGAAAATTGCGAGAAAAACGACTTTAAAGAGCTTGTTCGACCTGTTACATGACCAGATTAGGTGATGAAGCGATCAAAAGGAGAAGGTGGGGGGGGGGGGAGGGGGAAGGGGGATTGAAGATGAAATGAGAACATTTCGGTTTTCTTTTGAAATTTAATTAGCCTTTTAATAATTGTATCAATTATTTACATCCGGAAATTAGAAGTCGAAGCGTTAAAAAGGGGGGGGGGGGGGGGGGGGGAAGTGGTAAGGAGTATTGAAGATGTAATGATGACCTTTCGGATTTCGTTTGAAATCTCATTAGACTGTTCATATAAGCTGAGAAGGAAAAACGCAAGTAATAACTATCGGAATGTTAAAGAGAAAAGACAACAACTTGTTAAAAGGACACTTGACTGTCTTCATTCACAACAGAATCGGATGTAAAATAGAATATTTTATTCAAATATTACATATAATAAACTTTGACGAACATAGGAACATATCGTTAATCTGTAAGAATACAAATTCTTTCTTCTTGTTTAGGAGAAAGAAAACAGTTTTGTATTTGATTATAGAAGAGATGATGGTTAGAAACATAGATTAAGAGAGAATTATAAGAAGATAGAGAGAGAGACAATGAATATGAGAGACTATAGACTGTCATTGCAAAATACAAGGAAAGATAGACAAAAGCAACTATGGGAAAATCTTAATAATAAGCAGAAGCTGACCAAAGAGAAGAAGTTGAGGACGTCAGCGAGAAGAAAGAGACATCATTGAGAAGATGTAACCTCTTTCTTGTGCCTAGTCTTCTTCTTTCTTTTATCCATCTAACTAAACACAACCACTCAGGTAGTCGTCTCTCTCATTCATCCTCTTCTTCTCTCTCTCTATTCATCTCTCAACCTCTCTCATTCATACAGTTCGTTCTATCTATCTCTCTTCCTCTCCCTCTCTTTCTCTCTGAAATTAAAAGTATTTTCAGGTAATTGGTATTGAACCTCCTTGGGGCGTTCATTCCTTTCTCATTTATGACGGATAAACTATTCAATCAGTCTCTTATCAATATATAACATCTCTATTACAAAATGCATTCTTTACCGCCATTTGTAGTCATAGTCAAAACAAAAATATTTTTTTGAAAAACAAGAAAAGTTTCAGATGATTGGTGATGCAACAAGGTGTTAGCATCATCGAAAGGCAAGAGGTTGATGAGAGGAATATTACATTTAATCAAATTGCTCTCATTATACTAGAAAGGCTCTGATAAGACATCGATTCATTTTATTTGTTCAAATAATGAACTTGAGCTTTAAGTTTCAAGCTTAAACATTACAGAAAGCAATAAAGGTAGTGTGGTATAGATGGTCAGATGAGTGAGAGAGTGAGAGAGTGAAGGAGTGAATGAGGGGGTGACATCAAATGGCTTGTGGATGAGGAAGATTTTCGTAGAAATCTCATCAGTTTTTATAACAAAAGAGCTGAACAAACATAAGACAACAGAGAGCACAAGGTATAATGAACGATTAGTTGAGAAAAAGAAACAAAATAAGGAAATAGTCAAATGGAATTCATTTTATCAGTTAGGTGTAAAAATCCTTTCAGGCAAGAAGCTCTTATGAAAATCTATGCAAAGACTCTAACCCAAAGCATCGGCGATAAAATATTTTTGATAACAACACGATATGAACAAGTACGAAAAATATATGTTTTTTTCTATTATCATAAATTAAGTGAGAGACTTACACTTCTATAATTGAAATGAGAAGTAGAGAGAGAGAGAGAGAGGGAGGGAGGGAGGGAAAGAGGGAGAAAGATAGAGAGTCATGGGTCAAAGGAGAGAGGTAAGGAGTGAGGGAGAGGTGGGCGAACAAAAAAAGCGAAAAAGAGTTTAGACGATACAGAATTGTTTAGAAGAACTGTTTGTACGACGTTTAATCCGTTTACGTCGTTGTCGCCGTCTTCTTATTCATCTTCTTTCCAATGAATCTTATCCAAAGATAAAATGATCAAAATTATTATCATTACTCTTACAAACGAAGGAGGGGGGGGAGAAGAGGAGTATCAGAGGTTGGGAGAGAGAGAGAGAGATAGCCAAATGATATTGAGAAAGAGAATTGAGGGAGTATGAGTGTGAGAATAGGTGAGAAAACACAAAAAGCACAACCGCTTCAGTCGTCAGAAGTTTGAGAAAGTAAGAGAGTAGCCGATTGATGGCCAAGAAAAACCATAGCATGTCACTACTGAAGGCAATGGAAAACGATCACGTCGTTCATCACATTCGGGTCAGAACTTTCGTAGAAGTTCTTTCTGTCTCTATCTCTGGTGCTCTCTCAGTCTCTCTGCCTCTTCCTCCTATTCTTCTGAAAGGAGTTGTTCTCGTTTTCTTTTACTTCTTATCATCACATTCGCTGTGATACGTTTATGTGAACTTGAAATATAATTTAGCCATTAGTTAATCATGTTGTTGACGGAACATTCCTAAGAGGATTTTCAGGCCATTTTTGATTATTTTTTGAATCATTTCAACATTCACACACATACACACACACATACTCATACAGAGAGAGAGAGAGAGAGAGGGAGGGAGGGAGAGAGAGAGAGATAGATGGTGACAACGACATATAGTATAAGAAAGAAGTTTTGTAATAAGAAATGAATTCAGAAGAGAGATGTATGAGACAGATAAGATGAAAGCATAGTTAGAGAGTAGTTGTTGTAGTCAATTACAACCTTGACAACTGATGCATATCATACAACTCTTAAATGGAACAATCCAAATAAGGATTAAGAAAAATATAATAAATGAGGTTGTTCATGAAATAATGTTTTTTGGAGCGATAAAACTAAACGAAAAAACAAATAAAAGCTGAGAAAATGTTGGTCTGAAAGCAAAACTGGCCTGAGGTCGGAGGAGCTCTTCGTGTTCGGTTACGTTCCTTTTTTTATTTTCTTAGCTCAATGCTCCTTTTTTTTCTCAAATTTTCTCTTCTCTCTTTTTGACTTTAAAAGGAAAATGTTCAAGAATCGAATAACGATGTGTGACGAGATGAAATAAATTTGCAAGAAAATACAGCCAATTGAATGAAAATTTCGCTATCCGCTTAAGCTGCTTAAGATCTTTCCTTCATCAGATGGTCAGCAAACCATAATTGGCCAGATATCTTATTACCTTTGAATATAAACAAATATCTCATAGTTAGTGCTAAAGAAATTCATGGAGAGAGAGAGAGACTTAGTACTACAAAGGAATAGGTTAGGAGATAGACAAGAGTATAGTATATTGAAAGGAAGGAAATGGAGGTATGAGATGAAAGACGAAAAGTGTTTTCAAAGAACAAAGCATGTAGGTGAATGTCGAAAAAGCCATTTTTATATTTCTCAGCACTGCTCACTCACTCTCTCTTCCAGAGTAAGATTCTCGCAGATTATAAGCTTTAACGATAACACGTTATTAATGATAACAAATCATTTCATAATAAAAAAATCTCAAAATTGGCTTGTTGGGGGGGCAGATTGAAAAAACTGATTCACAAAAGAAATCAGCTGGAAGATGTGAAAGGATGGAAAGGCGGAGAGGATAGTTGGGTGACGAGAAAAGAGAAGAAAGAATGATAGAGAGAGAGATAGAGAGAGAGAGATAGAGAGAATGAAGCCTAGAATTCCATCAGTCAGTGGATTTTTCTTTTCGCACTCCACATCGTTTTCTCTTTTGATATTTTCTTCGTTGTGCATGGTTTTCAAACAGACAGTCAAGTCAATATAGCCTGAGGCTGTCGTCGGCGTCTTTTTTTCTCTCTCTCACCATCGTCATTTGAAGCTTTCATAAAATAATTTCTTAGCTTCTCTCTATCATTGAAAGTCATTATGTCTGGTCATTGACTGGCCAAAATGCGATTTTGATAGAAGAACCGCCTTTGTGATGGTGGAATCTCTTTTTCTTTCACTCCTTCCCTCACTTTCGATGTTAATGAATAAGAAGAGAAAATGAATGAAAGAGACAATATGTTTCAGATAAGAGAGTCTCAGCCGATGATGAGAGAGTCACAGACTTCATGAAAATCCACAAAACATTTAATAAGAAGCGAATGAAAAAACAAGACGATTCCAATGGAACAGCGGACATGAGGAGCCGGTTAATGAATGACATCAAAAGCTGAAATGTTGTCATTTTGACGTCAAATGTCATTAAGATATTGCTTAAAATACTTTCTCTTCTGCCATCATCATAAGAACAAAGCTCTCATCATTGCTGTGGAACGCAGTTTCAAGAGAAATCCTTGAAAGCATAAGAGAGAGATGGTCTACCCACCCACTATATGAAACCAATTCATTTGAAGGTAATTGTGGGTATGGGAAGATGAACTTAACAAGACAAGAAGAAGAAGCGACAATGATGAAAGGTCAGAGTTGATCATTCGCTCTTCGCTAGATGAAAACAACAAAAAAGTTGGTTGAAAGTTGAGGACAACGAAAAGGGGGAGAAGCGACATCCATTAGCCTTCTGATGAACAAAGGCTTTCGCGAAAGAGCATCATTACAACAACGACAATAATACAGAAGTAGAATCGCATGCTCACAACAATACAAACAATCAAGTCAAAAAAATAATTTTATTTTTTATTTTTGATCACATTGACAATCAATATGATGTTAGCCGTTCGTTTACTCACTGACTGCTCAAGGTAGGACTAGTCGATTCTATAGTCTGTTGGTCATGATGATGAAAGTCCAAATTCTCATTTTCCTCTCTTGATTTGATCGTTTTGGGTGAAAAAGCTGATCTGATCGATTTGTAAAAATAATTTATGTTTTGACCATCTGTGTTCTCATAGTTTATTCATAAAGTAATTTTGGATTGTTTACGGATATACATGTGTAGTCAGAATATGCAAATAGAAACTGTCCTGATACATTTGGTGTTTTCCGGAATACGTGTCGTCCCCTCTCTCTCTTCCTCTCTCTCACTCATTCCCTTTGTCTTTTAGTTGATATGAAAAGACTTTTTTTGTTTTCTCCTTTTTTGGAACTCTTGATTTATAGTAAACGGACTGACTGCTCTTAAAGGAATTTGGTTCTGTACTGATTTTCTGTCAATATTTGATTGTAAACGAAAATAATTACAAGAGATAGAGAGAGAGTGGGAAAGATGAAGAGAATGAGAGTTAGAAGTAGAGAGAAGTAGAAGTAAGAATCGTGTCAAAGAGAGCACTTGGAACATCGATGATAGGCCTTCTCCACCTCATCTGCTGTCAACATCATCATCATCATTCCGTGCCTTCTATGACTATGCGCGTAAATTCTCTGAATCCATCTAGCTTGCTCATGCTTTCCCTCATACCATCTCTGTCACATTCTCAACTGTGTTCACTCATGTACAATATGTGAAATAGTTCCTTTTTAGGATGTTTGTTTTACCTTTTTTGTGCTTATGTCCATTTGTGCCAACCAGGTATCTGAAGGAGGTCATTGGGCTTTGTTTCTCCTTTTTTCTCAAAACTACCGCTCCCCTTCCACTTGGCCTCCTCTTTTACTCTCATTTTTTTATTAGAATATTATATAATAAAATATATTTTTTTTATTAAAACATATTATATTTTGAGTCATTCAAGGCTGACTATGCGATAGCCATCAAATCGTTGGCTTCATCTAATAATTTGTAAAAATGAATTTTCTCATTCTCTTTCTGACCTTTTCAGGGAGAGAGAGAGAGTTGGAGATTAATGTGGTGAGATTGAAATATTCATTTAAAGAGTAAAGAGATATAGAGAGAGATAGAGAGAGAGAGTTGTAAAAGAGATAAAGAGTTGAAGATGTCTAAGGTAATTAGAAGAGAGAGAGAGAGAGAGAGAGAAAGGTAGAGAGAAAGGAGGGAAAATGGTTAATTATGACATCTGTCACCAATAGTCATCTTCATGTTACATCTTATTTGGAATTATTGAATTATTTAACATAAAATATATCAATAATTTCTCCATTTTCGTTATCTTTTTCTCAAATCCGAATGGATCTTATTGCCTTATTCGGTATTGTCTCTGAGATGTTGGTTATTTCATTTTCATTCTTTCTCTCTCTCTCTCTCTCGTGTTCATTCTCTCGATCTTCCTTCCTTTCCTTCTTCCTACATCTGCCCAGATCATTCCTCGTTTTCCAGTTGACCAATATGGCCTCATTCCGTATCTCCTCTTGCTCTCTCTCTCTATATATGTACATCTCTCTCTCTATCTTTCTCTAATTTTCTTTTATACATGTTCCATTTCCTTGGAACAAACATAACTGATGTTTCTTCATGTCAATTATATATTCTTTTATTGTCATTTTGACAGTTTTCTTTCTTTTCTCACCTGTTTTTCTCTTTTTTTATGAAAAACGCAAAACTACATCTCCTTCTCGATAGGCTCTTCGCTCGTTAAATTCCAAAGATTTTGCCTTTTTTTGTCTTTTCTTTCACAACGTTGAAAAAGAGATAAGAAATGAGTATATTTGCGATTAGAAAAGCTTCATGTACACCTGCCCTTAATTACCATATATGGTCAGCTTAACGAACATCAGCAGAAGGTTTTCTCCTTAATCGGCTCTCATTTCTTTTGTTATAACCTTATAAGCACTTTCATTCTCACATATCCAAACCTGTATGTTTCATTTAGACAGCCAATAAGAGAAGTAAAAAAAAAGATTTTCGTTTTGCCCCTCATTCACTGGCATTTACAATGAAGTAATTTGAATATGGTTGAAGAGTCAAAGTAGATGATGATGACGAAGAAGGTGAAGAAGAAGAAGAAGAAGAGTCTATTTGTAGTTATTCTTACTTCTCTCCCCCCCACCATCGTTTACTTGAAATAATACAGACCTTATTTGGCTATATAGTTCTAGCGATGACGCTTTCTCTTTCCTCTTTTGATTATCTGCCCGTCTTCTTCTTCTTCTTCTTCTTCTTCATCACCACAAACCACCTTCATCTTCTTCTTATTCGTCATCTTATTCTATCGTAATTTCTTCTATCATTTATGGTCTGAAATTCCGTTGAAGCATTGTAACTCATACTTCTCTGCCCACTTTTGGCTTTTTCGCTCCAAAAGGCTGAAGCACCACGTCGTCTACATCTCAATTGGTCGTGTTTTAAATGAATCATCATTCACATCATCAAGAGCTTTCATCGTATTCATATGTATTTTCTCAAAGCTCTAACTTTCACATCCTTCTTCATCTTTCAACTCACTTTTTCCAAATCTCAATCATCTTACTTATTCTCAGCTTTATTTATTTTATTGCAACCGCTCTCCGCCTATAATTCATATCAAAATGAAAATGCAACTGATATCATTGACGTGAGCATGTTTGACGTGAAACAAGAAGAAGCTTCCAATCCAGAAGCTGTGCCATAAGCTCTTCTGCCCATCGTATAGGAATGCAAAACCTCCTCTTTGCCCTCATTTTTCACATAAAAAATATTTTTTTTCTCCTATTTGTCGTCCCTTTTTGTCTTTTTGAATTAAAAAATAATGTTTTTTGATGTTATTGAATGGAAAAAAGGAAATAGTTGTCATTCATAACCAGATAAGATAAGCAACATCGTCTGACACCATCTACGACTGTTTACATGTCTCTCATCCATTAGTTTTCCTTTTTTTGTTTCTTTTTGTTTCATTTTTGAAATCGTTTAGCTCTTTCACCATTTTATATAATTAAAACATAGTTATATCAATAATTGATTACGAATAATCACTTCTTATCTGTTTATCATTGTTGAAACTTCTTTCTCTCTGTTGGCCGGCCATTCATCGCCTTCTTCTCCTTCTTCTTCCGTCTCTGCCTCCCATCAATTTCAATATTCCAAAAGAATAATATTCAAACATACCTTTCCCTCTCTCTCTCTCTCTCTCTCCTCTCTCTCTCTCAAATCATTTTAGAAGCTTTCGAAGATAAAGGTTTGTAAAGAATGAATAAAATAATCTTCTAAATGTACTTTTCTTTTGTGGAAAAACGTGTTTCATCTTCACTGACTCTCCTTCCTATCCGAACAACCATGCTTAGTGTAGTCCTGTAATCCTCATCGCATGAAAAGAATACAAAAAAAAGATAAAACAAATACAAAATATTAAAAAAGAAATACGTTTGACTTATGTTGCAATTAAAATGGATTTTCTCTTTTCTATTCTCGCATTCTTCATAGCTTATAGCAGTCTCTCTCTCTTCCTCATACTCTTCATCACTCTATACAACGTCTTACAGTTGCATTGCTAATCCTAACGTGTTGCAGAGGTTTGACCGTACATAACAAGCTGAAAAGCCATTTGATAGATAAAGAAAGAGACACAACGAAACAGTTTTCAAAGTAAAATGAGTAAGTTCATTTGTTGATTTAAGACGCTTTTGCTAAACATCCTTGTTATACAGGAACAGATACTCATTCGCCGGAGCTTCGAAAGGAGTTCGTTGAACAACTTCATGTCCTCTTTGATATTCTCGACACCAGTCGTACAGGCAGAATAAGCTATGAAACTGTAAGTTCTTCTCTTCATTCTATCCTGTTTTCTTTTTGTTATGAAAAAAGATAAAAGTACTTTTTATGATTGAATAAACCAACTAAGAAAAGTAAATAGTTGAGTTGAGTCAGTCTGGCTGGCGGGATTAATATTGGAAAAGCCGATTGAAAATTATTCAACGAAATCAATAGAGTGGTGAGAAGTAACACACATATAGGTCTCTATTACCATCTGGATTTACTATATGTTGCTTCGATCTGATTCATATTTGATATTAATCTCTCTTCCCCCCTCCTCTCTTTCTTCTCAGATAAAAATGAGTCTAGTGAGGGACGGACTATATGCTCTCTCTCTCTCTTTATCTATCTATCTACTTCCCTCTTCTACTCTCTCTCTCTTCAACTTTTTTTTCAATTTTTTTCTCTTATTATAAAATATCACATCTGGTAAAAGCTTTCGTTCGCAAGTTTTTTTCTTTCCCGAAAGCACAACTGGTCCTCAACCAGATGACCACACTTCTTCAGTCAAGTTTTCTCATACTTATGTTTGTTTTACTAATTTTCATTCAGTAATTTTATCTTTCATCTCATTCACTTTTTCTCTTTTCAGCTTTGTGCTCGATTTACGGAGGTTCACAAACCCCATTTACCTCCAAGTTTTCTTCGTTGTGTTGGAAAGGTAGCATCAGCTGACGGGTAAGTCTTCACATCTCGTTCTCTCTTACTATCTGTATTCCTCTCTCTATCTCTCTATCTCTCTCTATCTCTTGTAATATATATATTTCCTCCTTTCTCTCTCTCTCTATAGCAATATTCTCTCTCAAAATGAACTTAAAAATGAAATTTTATTATAAAAATTCTTATTTTGCCAGATATTTGACGTTCGACCGATTTCTGACGGCCGTTAAATTATCTCTCCGCGATTCGGAAATAAACAACAATATTCCATTACAAAGAGTTCAAAGTGAAGGAAGAATTGATAATCTAACGTATGTTCCTTGAATTCTCGCCCAGAAAACAATAAAACGAAAGTTTTCAGGGCTGAAAGAAGGAAAATGCATAATGATCCATCTATGGGCATTAATGACTTCTACAGAAGAACACAACTGCATTATGGAAGTCAACCCAATATAAATCCAAATGATAATACTTCCAGGGTAAATTGCCTCATCACAAGAGGTGAACCATAATGGGATTTCTTTCAGGTGATTCCCGTTTCAACATCACCTGCTGCAACTTCACGTCCACCAAGCTATTCGAATTATATGAATTTGAACTTCGATGCTAACAGTCCTAAGCCTCCCAATGTGGTTTTACGTCCAAAAAAGGTGAGATTCAGATCGTTTTGCAATTAAATTCATAATATAAACTCTGATCCTAACCCGGAATCCAGCACACACACACACACATTACATGAATTCTTCCTAAAACATCAAAAGGACCTCTTCTCACATTTTTTTTGGTGTGCATCGTGGTCTGCTGACTGCAAAATGTCCTTTTATGATGATCATCTGCTTCTTTTGATTTTCCGGTCTTCGATCCATCCGTCCAACTATTTTCTTTCTTGTCTCCATTTTTTGGGATGAAATGTTGTTGTTCAACTAACAATTTCATGCAACCTCAAAGCCTTAAATACACACAAAAGTCCTGTCGTCATCTGTCGGTCTGTCTTCGATATTTGGTCATTTCATTCCTTTCTTCACCACCATCATCATCATCATCATCTACCTCTCTCTCTCTCTCTCTCTCTCTCTCTCTATGAACACATTATAAGAATGACCAAATAGTACTTCATACACAAATATTTTATTGTCACGTGTTTCCTATATACTAAGTTAGAATATCTATATCCATATGCTAATTCCTATCCACGTAAATCTTATCTCACGTGAAATTCACGTAACATCAAAATCTGAACGTGATTCATTTGTTGCTTATTGTTCTCACTGAACGGTTGTATCTATCTATCTATCTCTATCCCTCTCTCTCTCTCTAAAACAACAATCTGTAAATGGAAAGTTGTCGACTTCCTTTCATATTTCCCTTTTCTTCAAGTAGCAGTCATTTTATTATTTATTTTATAATTTGTTTTTTTTATTATTATATTCTAATTATCCTCTTACTCTCTATACTCCCTTTTCATTCGCATCGTCTCAATCCGTGACCTCGAAAGCTGGCATCCGACTAAAATATTTTTTTCTTTTCTTACCTCACCCTTCTCGTCCTTGTCAGAAGTCTTACTTGGTTCCCACTTACAATTGACCTTTACCATGAGAATTTTTCGTTCACATTTGGCTTGGAAAACATCTACACCCCCTCTCCCCGCTACAATCTATTTCATCTTATAATTAGCATAAACAGTATTTGATGTATGTCATTTAAGGTAACTGTTCGTTCTCAAAAAGAAGAATCTCGTATGCGTCATCCATTGCCACCAAATGGAGCAAATGCTCAGCGAGTTCAAGTTATTCGCAGTCGTCCACACAGCACCACTTCATACAACAGCATTGGCAAGTTTTTTTTTCTTCAATATTTATTTAGAAAATATATTTATTGCAAAAGATAAATGACAATTTCTTGTTTACAGCTTCATCAGGATTAGAAAACATTTCTTGGAGAAATTCCAGCTTGTCTACTTCAACCGAAAATTCTGTTCGACGAAACACAGTACATGAGGATGACGTGACACCTCGAGTGGTAAGTTCAACATTCTTTTTCTTCAACTTCAACAATGATTTGAAAATTAAAAAAAAAATACAAAATAAATTACAAAGTGTACGTTAATGGGTATCATTTTCAATGTATATTGAACAAGAAATCTGTATTTACTTCTCTCATCGTAGTAGTAGTAGTAGGAACGATTCTTCTAAACTCGTCGTCTGTGCGATTGAATTGGTGCGTTCAGTTCAATCCAATATCAAATCGTTTTCCTGGTCGGAAAAAAATTCGTCCTACAGCTGCACTTCGTTTGCCTGGTCTTAAACGGAAATTATGAATGACATTCGATGAAATAAAAAAAAAAGAAGCTTTTAATTATTTACCTAAAATTCCAACGACCAATAGCTGTGGATCTTTTGCCGGGGCGGAAGCTAACTCGTCCAACAGCAACTGTCCGTTTACCACGCATACTATAATTATTCAGAAATTTTCTTTTGCTCAACAAAAAAGAACGTATGACGTCAGTGAGTGCTCTCTCCCTCTTTTGGCTCAAACAAATTTTTGAAATGTTTTGCTTATTCACAACAACTATATGTAAAGCTTACCCAGTATCGTCATACTCCTCTGATACGTCAGATCTCTTTCCTGGTCTGAAGAAAGCTCGTCCAACAGCTACCGATCTTTTAGAATATCTATAACACATCATAATTCACAAAACGATAATTGATGTTAATAGACCTGAAGGTGGGATCAAATTGAACACTCCGCTTTCCTGGACGAAGAGAAGTTCTCCCCATAGCCATAGATCGTTTCATTATTCTACAAACAACACAATGATCATACTCTCTGATTTATTTTGAAACATACAGATCATTGCGTTTGCCCATACTCTCTTCCGAGAATAGACGACTCATCTCTGTTGAATCATCATCATCTTCTTTAACTTTTGACCATCCACTTGGATAATTATCCTGTAAATTACTATGTTAAGCATTCATATGACGTTAGATGATGTGGTTAGTGAGATTTCGAATATGTTATGATTAACGGATGTTTCATCTCTAAATTTGCAAATTTGGAATGATGACGTCATTCAAAGATATCATAATCACGGAAGTTGAAAAGTGGATAAGAAGAGATTTTGAATGAAATAGATTTCAAGGTAATTTCCGGCTATAAAAATTATGAAAGAGGGAAGAGGCTTAAACAGAGAGAGAGAGAGAGAGCGAGAAAGAGAGTGAACGATAGAGAGAGGTGTTTGTCATTGTGCTTTTCAAAGAACGAAATAGCCAAGAATACGATATTGCTCCAAGAGAAGCTTCACAGACAGAAAGAGTCAGAGAGAGGAAGGAGGAATAACGCGTAACAGACAGGTGAAGGAGATTACTGTATAAAGAAAATTCTTTTTTTTTCTTCAAAACCCATTTTCTGGAAGTTAATTTCACTCTGAGAGCAAAATGGTTTTTGGAGACAAGAAGGTGGTGAGATAATGAAATCATTTGAAAATAGTGGAGCAGAAGAAAGAACTAAAAATCCAGGAATAGAAATAATAAGAAAGATATGCAAGACGACTCACGGAATTCTCTTCTGAAGTCAGTTGATGTTCAATGTTGGGATTGAGAATTGGCTTATCCAGTTGGCTTGGAGCTTGAGATGATGGAAGAAGTAGGAGATCGTCATATGGATGTCCAGTAGCTGACGATGGCCAAAATAGTAAAATGAGAGGAATGGTTTTGAAGATAAATAGTTTAGACATGCTTGCTGCTAGTACCTAGAAGCAATTGAAATATTGAAATTTCAGTATTTATATTTTGTCTCCTCCTATCCCCCGGAGGGGTTGGACGAAAACGGAAAAGGCGGAGTCAAATGAGATAAAATTCATTTTGCATTATGAAAATAGAGGATGTTTTAACATAATTTCATGAATTTTGTAACATCTCGATCATATACACCTTAAATGGATATGAACGCATACGTAGACACACACACGTACAAGCTGTTATGCTAATGAGCAGAAGGATATAGTTAGTAGTAGAGGAGTATAAGAGCTAGATGAGATATCCCATATGAAATGTTGTTTGATAGACATATTCATCTAGCCATTCCATATACGGTTTACACTTTGAACGTCAGAGATACGAAATGTAAAAAAGAAATTTGATAATCATGTTATTTCCCTTTTGGGGAATATTTTCCCAAAACTGTACTGATGTTCATTGTCTGTAAGGTATATCTGATTAATCTCAAGATAATTTGCAAATTCTTATAAACTTTATAAGATTTTTTACTTTTTTTTTTTCTCATCATTTTCATACAAAAGCTTCCATCGGGAGAGATGATGTCAAAAAGGTAAATCGAGTAGGAGGAGAAGAGGGAGAGAGAAAGGAGAGAGTGTCAAGTGAAGATGAAGATGCAAGGGTGCATGTTCAAGTTATTTTGAAATTTCTCACTTTCAAACTATTTGAATAATCCAAATAAGGAGTAGTATGACCTTATATCATGAAATCTATATTTAGGCAAAGTTGGATGGTTTACATAAAGAAGAAGAAGAGCTATTACGTAAAGGATTGGAAATGTCTAATCGTCTGAATGAATGGTACAAAGAGCGTTTGGAGACCGTTGAGAAGAGATCTCGCCTTCTTAACCAAGGAATGGTGGCATTAGTCAGTTTTCTTACTTCCTTTTCATCACCTGCCTGTTTGTAGTTAATACAATAAAGCCAAAATATAGAGAGAGATATTTTCAGCTTGAAAGAGACAGATAGAGAGAGAGATGTAGAGCTATAGAGATAGGGAGAGTGAGCTTGAAAGAGAAAAATTCCTTTTTTCATCTCCAAAATAATATATTTTGCTATTGATAGCAAGATTATTAGATCTTGGTTTACAAATCTAAGTTCTATCCTATTGAAGGAATCTGCCGTCCATGAGCAGAAATTGAATTTCTTGCGTGCTCACTTGACGGAGCTTAATCGTCGCATGGTAGCTTTAATGGAAACAAGTGATAAAGGATTTCCAACTCATGAAAATCTGCAGGTAATATCATAAATGATGTTTTGGAATTATAAATTGATCTTCAGAAAGGAAATCTGCCACAACCTCAAGACGACCAATTGACTTGGCTGCATCGCCAAAATAAATTATTGAATCAGGTAACCTTAAGTATATGAACTTTTACATTTGTTTTCATTCTCCTTTGCAGGAACTTGGTGATAAAGTACGTCAGATTGAAGATTTCAAACGAGAAAAGGAGAATGTTGATCGTTCATATAGTAGAATACAACCTAACAGGTAGATAACATATTCTTCTTTCCATATAAGGGATATTCATATTAAGACATACACCAACACGTCCATCAGCATATGTTCGACCAGCATTTCAACAGCCAACAGTTGTAGTAGCAGCACCTCGATCTAACCCTTCACCTATCAAAATCTATGATACGCTTATGTGAATCTGAACACTTCACACCAGTCCTTCATTCCTTCGTAAATCTCAATCAGCTCATCCGAAATCCTGCCCATACGCTATGATATGATTACTATATGAATATAAATAACAACAAGAAGATATTATATTATAAAAGTATAGCGTGTTTCTCTCTATCTTTATTAAAATGAATTTTAAAATAAATTTTATTACAAAATTGTGTCTTTGAATTCTTATTCTCATTCATTCAGTCGTCTCCTTCACTCCTCATACGACCGAACTTTGATCAAAATACTATTATCTTATAATAGGAGAAGATGAAATATAAAAAAAAAAGGATAGATAAACTGCATAGTTTCAGATAATTTCATTCAAATTATCTATTTCTCTCTCACGGCGACAACATTTGCAAAGAAAGCCCACGTGATCATTACGTGAAATTTAGAATACACGTGAAATGACGTAAACTTCCTACACTATACAATGCAATTCATTTATAAGCAGATACGTCAGTAGAGCGGTTGTATACAGCAATAACTTCATTCACCTCATACATATCTACATTCCTGAGAGATGTCCTTTGTCTCTCAACAACCTCTCAGATTACTCCAACCAATTGATCAGTTTTGTGCTTTCTTTATCTAAATGTACCCTTCATGTAGCTATTGATAAGAAAAATATGTATTTACTAAGTTACATCCAAATAAACGCTCTTTCTATTGCTTCAACTATCACACATCGTCAATGATTCGTTTATTCGTTTTTCCTGTAATTCTACTTCTCTTCCTCATTTCCTCTTCGCACTCGCAGCAACCTTCAACATTGAAATTTGTTCAAATCGTAAGTTCATTCTTTTCATTCTTCATTTTTGTTTTCTTTCATTTTTTGTATTTTCAAATAAAAAAATATTTTTCTTTCAGTGGTTCAGACACGGAGAACGCCTGCCAACACACTTTCTCAATCTACCCGGTGATCCGTATCCAAGCGTTTATCATGAAATTTCTGAACCTGGAGAACTGACTAATGTTTTTCATATTATTCTCTGCCAGCCATCTATACTTTGCTCCTTTTATAGAATGGTGTTATTCAAGAATATGATCTGGGACTAGAAATTAAAAAGTCTTATGGTGATTTCATTGGGCCATATAGAGCTTCCGAGGTAAACAACCATTTTTTTTTCATTTTTAATCATTTCAATTTCCAGCTTAGAATATGGGTTGGAGAAGATAATCGAACAGTTACATCCGCCTTAGCTGCTGGCGCTGGTTGTTTTCTTGCTTCCTCATTCGCATTTTAACCTTTATGTTTAGCACTCTTTCCTCCAGCAGAAGGACAGAAATGGAATCCTGACCTTCCATGGCTTCCCATTGCTGTCCATTCTGATCCATCATTGGATTGGGTAAAGATTACAATCACTATTTCAATACTAAATCATAAATATCATTAAGGTCTCAACAGGCGTCGAACATGAATGTCCTGTCTATGAAAAAACATTTTTTACTTCATCCGATTATCAGTCAATGACAGGAAAATTAAAAAATCAAAAGCTTCTTGAAACGATTAAGAAGAATCTGCCATTGATACCATTACATGATATTCGTGATGTTAATCACATATTGGACTCTCTCTATATCCGAGTTAGTTTATATATAAATCAATTTGTTAAACAATATGAAAACATATTATAGAATATTTTGAATGATAAGCGTCTACCCCTACCGGAATGGGCCAAAGATATCAGTTATGATATCCGTCCAGTCATGATAGAGATTCATGAGCGTTTAACCAATTTGCAATCTCCAATAATAGGTAAAAAAAATAATTATTATTTATATTCACTAGTCATATACCATATGATGTTTGAAATTATAATATTATAGGTTATCATCGTGAACGTGTCTTGTCATACATGGAAGATCATCTGCAGCGGTCAGTGAAAAACAAGGCCGTGTTCCTATCCGGGGTATGTATGAGTACTTTTGGCATATCATATCTCTCTTTACCTCTATACCTCTCTATATCTCTCTATCTCTATCTATCTCATATCATATTCTCTCCTTGCAGCATGACACCAACTTCATGATGCTGGGAAAAGCACTTGGCATTAATGAATTAAAAACAAATCTGCCTTCTTTCGGTGCGCATATCGCAATTGAATTGCACGAATACAATCAGACTTCATATGTAAAGGTGAGTTATGCTGAATTATAATTTGAATTTTAAATTATATTTTCTATTTTAAATAACTTTTTTTTTTCATTTATTATAGTTCTTCTATACGACGGGTGTTGGTGAACCACTCACAGAAGCTATTCCATCGTACTGCACCGAGATTTGCACTCTGCAAGATGTTCAGAATCATAATGAAGTTAACTCTCTTATTATTCTCTTTTTTACATATTAAATTGAATTATAGTATCAACGAGTATTACCTCTTGACATGATTAAGATCTGTAAAGGCTTGACGATGAGTGAACAACAATCAATAGTGACAGGTAGAGAATGCTATCATCACACATCACCAACTATCAAAATGTGCTTTGTTGCAGGTTCACTTATAGCTGTCTTAGCTGTTCTATTAATATCTACAGTCATCTTAACATATACAACATACAGTTATAGGAAGCAGCTTATCCAGATGAAAGATCCCGAATGTCAGCGTTTGTTATGAAGATGATGATATCTAATTGAATTTTCGTTCATTCATCTTGTCCTCTCTCTCTTCCTCTCTCTCTCTCACTTCATCATTCACTCTAATTCAATTTTTAATTTCTTCTTCATCAAAAATTAAAGAATTTCCTTTTATATATAAGAGACACTTTGAATATAAAATTGTATTTTAATATTCTTTGACTTACATTTTTTGTATTTTAATTCAAATACATTTCAAACATAAAGCTTTATATTCATATCTGTCTAAATTCTTTTCTTCGTTGCCTTGACTGTGTTTTGATTATTACTAAACGACCAACCGGCTGGCAGACTTCTCAAGTTGCCTCAGATCTCAAAGGAGACATATAGTCTGAATACTATACCTTCAACAGCAGTAACATGCTTGATGGCTCTGACTACATGTCTATGGCATTACATTGCATTATCTCATTAGGTGGAGGACTTTGTAATGTTTTTCTTATTTTCCTTGTTCTCACTAGCACTCCAGCTATACTGAGATCGTACAGGTAGGTCTAATCATCCAAAAGTACTCTCAGCTTTTGATAATCTACAGTATGTTGATTCTCAATGCTGCCCTTACTGATGCGCTAGCCTGCTTTTCAAGTTTATTCACCATGACAAGGTAACAATCAGATCAAAATTTTCCGAAAAATGTTCCCTTTGTCTAAGAATTATACCTGCTGGGCCGGCACTAACCTATGTCTTCCATGGACCATGTCAATTCTTTGGAGCAGAGTTCTGTTACTACAGTAAAGAAAATCCAACTGACTATTAAAGCTCAACATATCTCTAGCTTATTGCTTCTTGCTACACACTCTGGCTCATTCGTTGTTTGTGATCCTGGCTTCCTTCATCTACAGGAACCACGTAATCTCCGAGCCTAACCTACGAGCACGTGCCGTATGTTTCTGTCTTCTACTGGTGTATCTACCATCCTTCACCCAATTTGTATGTCTTCGAAATGAAACCAATGAAGTTCCATCTTTAAGATACTGTTCTGCATTTCATTAGGAGACTTGGACAAAATAATGGCTATCCTACATGAAGCATATCCTCATTATGACTTCACTGGTCTGACGATTGCAGGAAATGAAAAGGTTCTGTCTCCGATCGTCATCGGTGAGCCATAGTATGATTCAATGTGAAAAGGGTTTGAATCTTCAGTGCAAATTCTCTACGTAACAGTTCCTTCTGTTCCTGTTTATATAGCTATTACTCTCATAAGAAGAAATATATATAACACATTGAAAGAGAAATCACAACACTTCAGTGAGGCAACCATTCGAACGCACAAACAACTCGCAAAAGTTGGTTTTTCATTTCATTTTTCAATTATTTTGATCAAAATTCATATATGCATAAACAGCACTTGATAGTTAAGCGTCGTTTCCTGTAAGTTACGTCGAATGCTGGATTAATTTAAAACCCCACGTAGATGACGTGTAAAGTGTTACGTCATGTCAGACCTTGTCTGCTCATGTGCTATTTTCATTTTAACCCATTTCTGGCGTCTAAGCGGTTGCACTAATTTCAAATCTCAAAATCTCTGATTGTTAATGTTTCGTTTTTCAGGCTTTAACCATTCAAGCTTGTTTACCGGCAACATTTGTTATAGCTGTAACATTCTATACCTCACTTCAGCTCGACATCTATCGATCACCAATATTTGAAAAATTGGTATTTGTGATAGTGTCGTGTGTTCCTATGGGAGGACCATTCGTCTCAATCTATTTCATAAAGCCATATCGTGAGGTGAACTTTACAATTCACAATCCCCCCCTCATTTCCTATCATTTAAATGAATTTTGCAGAAAACATTGGAGTTACTTGGAAAAAGCAAAGAGAAGACAATGATATCAATCAGCACAGTATCAAATTCATACAAAGCATAATTTATTTATATATTACATTAATAATGACAATGTTAACTTATGCATACTATAGTTTGCCGTCCCAAATGAACTTCTGTTCTTTCTTCTTCGCTAACTGTTTCTTCCATGATCGACTCTCCGATTTACAAGATTTTTGAGCTTCATCTAACGTATACTTTACGACTTTGAAATTGCAAAAGCCACAGCTCTTGCGGCATGAGCGAAAAGCAATTTGGGGATTCTCACCATCACACGACCAAGTTGATTGAGCTTCAAAGACATCTGTATTATTGACATACCTAATATATATTTGATAAATTCTCATAATAGCTAAGTCTCTCATGCTTACCGGTGACAAAATTGAGATCCATAGCGGTCAAAGCAATGTTCTGAAACTAAAGAACGAGCAATCAAATCATAGGCCATAGCTTGTCTACTCTTATTGCAAGTTGAACAACATTGAATTAATCTGAAACACAAACACATAATTACAAAAGCAGTCAGAAGGTGTAAAGGGGATGAGAAATAACCTAAATTCGGCATCTTGATTACATCGTTTAGCAAAATTTCGTGTGTTTGATCGGCTTAAGCGAGCACATGCTGTTGAACCTAAGTGATCTCGACAACAAGGTGGTCGAGTCGTATAACTGCTATAACTGGCATCTTCGATAGAATGAATAAGAAAATGAAAACAGCTAAAAGCCTACCAGCATCATCTGTGACTACTACAACAAGAATTATAAAAATATTTATGATTGTTGAGTACATTTGATGAAAGCCGTCAAGATATCGTAAAGATGTTCAACAGCCACTTTCACTCAAATATTCTGCTGATCAAGCTTTTCATTGCTCTCTTTCGTCTTTATATAGACGTATACATAGGTCAGCTGTCAAATATTTTTATCCGCGGTCTAGCTTGGCTATGTCAAAGCACCAAATTGGGTTTTGAGTGCGAAAATGGGCAAACAGCTGAAGATTCCTGTATTCTCATATTTGAAATTGATAGAAACAGGTTTTTTGTTATTTGAAATGTTTTAATGAATTGACACATAGAACATAGAGAACTATAATGAGACCTTATGAAGAGCAAGATGACGAAGAAGCAGAAGAAGAGAAACATCCTTCTGCGAACTTCGAATTTCAATGAAATAGAGCTTTTAGGGAAAGGATTTTTTACATCGAAAGATATAAGTAGTAGAGAAATACATAAGTAGTAGTTCTGAAGATACACACATACATACGGAGAAGGAGAAATCAAGTGCGAGGTAGGGAATAATAGAAATCTTCATAAATTCCTAATTCAAGTATAATCTGATATCTTTTCATTACCAATGAAGGAGCAGTATAGGTGTGGAAAAAGGAATTTCTTTTCCTGATAAATTCTTTTTTCAAAAGAAAACAAACAAAATAAAAAATGGAAAAAAAATCAATTAAAAGCTAAATAGAAACTCCAATAGAAGATATTAAAAACAAAAAATAATAAAGGAAATACAACCCGACATCGTTCATCAATTCTTTGAGCCACTCGTCGTCCACGAAGATTCCTCAACGTTCTCGTCCAGTTTAATGCTCTTCGAGATACATCGAGTGTCTAGAAGTAAGTAACATAGACTATCATCAACCTCTCACATAATGTTTATTGCTTACTAATCTACTTACAACTTTCCGAATACCGGATACCTGTTGACGAAGACGTGAGAGGCTGGCTTTCGATCGTTTGCGCTTCAGACGATCTGACCCCACAAAGTATCTGCAATAATTCAATATTAGAATTGAAGATGATTGGCGAGGTGCATTGGTCTATTGTAATCAAACGTCATCTCTAAAGCTTTGTATAACCCTTTAGACACTGCAAACTAAGACATGCTCTATCTATCAGTCTTTGTTTAAAGTAAAGGAATAGTTCAGATCAAAGGAAAGCAACTAAGAGTCTCTTCAATCTTTTCAAAAAAGCTACTCGTTAGACCTTATAAGTTCTGTTATAGATGAACGACGTCTGCTCATACTGTTTCTGAAATGTTAGTGTGGGTGAATAAACGTAAAGCTAGCCAAGTGCTTTGAAATTATAAATCATAAAGCATAAAAAGATAAAAAGGGATAAATTATATAAGAATATTATAAATCTAATACCTTGCTCCGTTGGAGTTCAAATCGTTGGCGAGACTACGGAGACGTGGTTCTCCATCATCTGGTGGCATCATATTCAAAGCAATATGATTATCATGGTGATGAGGCGTCATGAGATCATCATCATTCTAGAAAACACTTCGCAAATTAATAATTCCATAATTCTCATATTCATCAACTCATACAAATATACAGCAAAAGATGAATTCAAACGACAAAGAATGCCATGCACATCATGCAATTGGAAAACAGAGGGAGAGAGCAAGAGAGAGAAACACTTCAAGAAACGAAAAATTTGGATTATAGGTAACGTTCATGCTTATATAGTAATGTGTATATGTATTGTATGATACTCATGAACAACAGCAGAACATAACTATGCTTTTCTCATCTCAATTGATCTCCTAATAAGGACAATTCTAATCTTACCGTCATTTCCTGTTGTTCAATCTGTAAAACTTATAATGATATCAATGAATTTCCTTTTTAATCATCCGGCCTTTCCATCTTGTACTTTTAAAACCAAAAAAAAAAGATTTTTGAATATGCAAAACTTAAAATGTTGTCAAAGGAATTATTATATTTCCTCTTCTCATCTACTATCAGCCAGAAATATAATTGTCAAAATTGAAAAATTGAAATCTTGATTTCAATTCATGATATTTTGACATTAAAATCAACATAAGGCTGGATATGGGTGGTGAAAACAACAAAAGCAAAGGACAAACAGACAATCAAGCACGTACACTGGATGCAATCCTTCGTACCAAATCATCTATATCTCTAGCTGCTCCAAATAAGGTTGATAACGCTGTATCAACGATCAGTGAAGGTTGAGCTTCTCCACGTATGATCTCCTGATTTTTGGCAAAATGGCATATCGTAAATTCTATCATAACACCAAAGACGAAGGCCTAAAAATAATCTATCTTATAATATCATCCCGTGAGACCATGTGGTTTCTTATGCTAATTCATATATACTATGTATATGATGATATCTCATTGAATTACAGTTTTGCTTGAAGCATAGTATATATATGAGTTACGTGGAATACGTGACGTCACGCGATTGACGTCAAATGACGCGCTAGCAATTCATTTTTGAAAACAAATATGATCGCGTTGGTTGCATCTTCCGTTCTTTCATCATTTTAAATTGGATTACATAGTTTTTTTTGCAGAATAACTTCTTACCATGCAAGAGCCCATCCACACATCAATAGCTTTCATATATGAAACTTCTGGTAATGCTAGTTTGACAGCGTTTGCTTGTGTAGATATAGTAAGAAGAGTTGTAATTGATAATGAGACACGAGCAGGTGCTGAATCAACATCTAGCCAAAAATTGAACCTGAAATCATGTTCTCTCTACTACGGCATCATCCAATTTACTTCACAAACCACGAAATGACAACTATTAAAGCTGTTGGAAGATAAGTTTGCATGACATGATGCATCATTTCACGTTCTACATAAAACACTGCTGTCATACAACTCCAAATACCTGAATCAAACTGTTTTCACCAAGGTTTGCTCAAATGACAACCTGTGGCATAAGTTCCATTACAGTAACCCGTTTTGATATCTTTCAGAGACATATCTGGCATTGTGATTTCTGGATTTCGATCTATAGGAACAACGTTCCCTCCATGAGCCCATACAAGTCGCAGAACAGTCTCGGGATAAGCATCTGAGAACAGTTATTACAGGTTATTAATTTGAAAAGCTATTTACATGATAAAACACGAAGCGCACATTCCTGGGAATCTAACGGATATTTCCATAAATCCATATTACATGAACTAACCTGGAAAAGAAAAAGATAAGATGTCAACGTTACGATGTTTTCATTTATTCGAAACTTCAGGGAGAGAATACGATATCAAAATTGGATTTGTGATGTCATCCTTGGCTCTCATCCAACTCAAGGCCCGACTCAGCCGTGAGGAGTTGGAGAGCCGATCTCGGCGAATGATCGAAACTGATCGAAATGCAACTTTTTCTTTCGAATTCTTTGAAACTTGGTGATCTTACTAATTCGGGTCTGAAACTTCTGAATATCAAATCAGAAATTGATTCTGATCATTCGTTCTCGAGATACAGAAGGTTGAAGATTCAGTGATGTCACCATTGGCTCTCATCCAACTAAAGGCCCGAGTCAGCCGTGGAGACTCATAGAGTCGATCTCGGCAAATGATCGAATTTGATCAAAAAATAATTTTTGGGTTGCTTGGCATTGGTCCACAAAAAATCACGGCCATAGAAGTTGTGCTGCAGTGTTGTCAAGGATATGAATATGGTTATAGCATAATTTTTGATTCTTGGCATGATGAGTGTTCTGGTATATTGTACTTTCGGAATCTACTGGTTATAACTACAGGTGTCATTTCTTGAATTCATACAAGCTATGCCATGCCCTGGAATACACATATCTGATACTCCCGTGAACAGCTAAGTTGGAGAACCGATGTTCAACGAAAACTTCATTGAAAACGCTTGTTATGATGTTACAAAGTGAATAAACAAACGAGATAATAAAACTAAATGGGAAATGCAATGGATGAGGGGTGACGAACGTTCCCACTCAAGGCTTTTCCTTGTCTCAAAGTGGATGATGGAAATATCGCATTGAAGGAGAGAGTTTGACGGAAAGACCTGTTGCTGACCTAACGTGATTGCAATCCGATTCGCAGTTTCTCTTGATGGTCATTCTGCTTCAATCGTATATTCATTTGCCTTTATAGTTTGTGAGATATTTCAGCTTTTCCTTCAACTAATTTGCTTACCTTCGTCTGTCTTGTTGTTTCATGGTTATGAGGTTTGGATGTTGATCAGGCGTTTTCGTCTTTGGTTTCTATGCTTCAACTTCCTTCGAACTTTTTTTTTGTTAAATAGCAATTGGATTGGAGATTCGTTGTAAATGAGAAATGGGAAACGAATTGAATGGATGCTTTTTCTTGTAATTTCCTTGTCAAAACACATAAACAAATGTTAGGAAAAGCTTGAAAACTTTCATTCCTCACAGTTTCCCGTTTTCTCTTGTAAATGTCTGAGTACTTTCGCTTAAAGTTCTCAACTTAAAAGCACTTTCCTTCCTTCTTTGGTAATTCGTTGTGCTGTCCTTCTCCACTTGGCGATGTTTAGAAAACATTTTTCTTTGAAACAAGGTGTGACCCTTACAGCCTTTAAAAGATGTTAGCTTGCCTTCCAGAAGGTGACCATCACAACACTTTCTTCATCGCATGTTTTTTCTTGTTGTCGCCGTTTCACGTCTCTTTCTCTCAATCTCCATCTTGAAATATTCCATTTATGGCAATTTCTGATATCCATCTGAGTGTAATTTGAACCAGCTTCTTAAGCGACTGATGAGTTCTCGTTGTCAGTCATCATGAACTATGATGTTTCAAATTGAAATGATAGGCTTGTTCTATTCCTCCACATTCCAGTTGTCCTGGAATGGTATTTTCCCTCTTTCTCTCACCTCAACTGTCATATTTTCCCACCATTGTAATCGTTATGGACCAGCCAATAGCTGGATCATTCAAGGTCATCAAATTTCGAGCTTGAACTTCATCAGTCAAATAGCCATTTCTTAAAAAAACGTTTTCTCCTTCTTAGAGCCTAGAAACAAAACGTTCA